AAAAAAAAAAAAAGATAGAGAAGAAGAAAGAAAGTGAAGGAAGGGGAAGTAGACGGCGAGGGCGACGAGGGTGAAGGTGCCGGCAGCCATAGCCGAGGTGAAGGGTTGACCGGGCTTTGACCAAAGCATTGACCAGAGGGTTGACCAAGGGTTGACCAGGCGTTGACCGAGAGGGTTGACCAAGGGTTGACCAGACGTTGACCGAGGGTGTTGACCAAGGCGTTGACCGGAGCTGCTGCCCAAGATTTTGACCAAGCTGGAGCTGGTGATATCTCGCTGAGCCCTTAGCCTATCACCTTACCCTGTGGATGTGCACTCACCCTACGGTACTTGCTGAGTTTGAGTTTGTATGTCTTTCCTTTCTGCATTGAGTCTCTTCTGTCTTAGGTGATAGGACTCTCTGGTTGAAGGATAGGGCCTTGCTGCCAAACCTGCACGGGACTTAGTAGGACTAATCTCTACTCTGGCATCTGGAGACCTGGGCATGAGCGGCGAGCGCTCGTCAAACAACTCGTCTAGCCCAATGACCGATACTGTCCGGCAGGTCTACTGAGTTCAGTGTAGAGGGTCTGAACTCCGAGCTGCAGGCTGAAACGAAGGCCGTCTTTAAGTGTTGAGGCCTGGTTGAACCACTCCCCTACCGGACCTAGTAAGGGTGATGATCAATGTCTGACGACTCGACTGTCCCGAGGGATACAAACCCCTCCAAGGACCGATATAGACGGGCGGGCTGCTCGGTGTGGCACAGTAGGCCGGAACGGCTGAGTTGTGGGCTGAAATCGTCGGGAAGAACCAAACTGACCACGTCGTCCTGTCTGCGACGTTAAAGAATTCTTGAGGAGTTTGGGGGATCTCCTTAAATGCCTCCAGGTCAGCTTTTGGTTCAGTAGTGACAGCCTTAGAGTAGTCTTGGGTTAGTGACCATAGTAACAGGGTCCTTAGGAAGTCAGTTAGTGGGTTAGTGTCCGGGTAGGTCTAAGTGGTGAGGAGTGGGACTTTGGTCGTGCACCTGACGCCACGATGGACGACTATCCGATGTATGGGTTGCTTGTTGGGTTCTCCCTCTGGGGGACCCTCTGGCGTCTCCTCTTTCCTCTGGGTTTTTGGCCCACTTTCACGTGTAGAGTAGGGCCCACTCGTGGTGGTGCTTCCACCAACCCTTACACGAAGGAGGAGGAGAAGATGGCCGCCATTCTGCATGAGAGGAAGGAGAAGAAAGAGGCCAAGGGGAAAGCCTTGAAGGAGGAGCAGGCGGCCAAATTGAAGAAGATAGAAGAAGAGATGGCTAGAGAGAAGGAGAGGATACAGAAAGAGGAGGAAGCAAAGTTGAAGGAGGTGGAAGAAGAAGAGGAGGAAGATGATCAGCCACTGGAGAGGAGAAGAGAACAGCGAGGGCAGTACAGTGGCAGCAAAGATGATGAGATGGAGAAGCGAATCTCAGAGTGGGTCGCCAACTTGTCCCTGGGAGAAGAAGAAGAGGTAGCCATGTATATCCCCAAGGACGAGCAGGAAGCCGCTATGAAGGAGTGGGAAGCAGAAAGGGATGTTGTGAGGCGGCATGCAATGGAGGATGAAAAAAGGATGGAGTGGAAGTTGAGAGTGATGAGGGAAAAGAAGAGGAAAGTGGACGCGGCGATTGACGCGGT